ATTCGATGTAATCCATTGTAACTCGGCAACCGGCTGTGCAGCTGCAGACACCTACAAAACACATTCCCACAAATCAAATGATTTCTAGATGTTCGATAGATGTGAATCTGTTTCATCAAATTTATTTCTTGATGATTGTCATGAACTGAATTTGTCAAGGCGATGAAATTATTTGGTGAACATCACTGTCAAGAATAAATACTGAACATAAGTTCTATGAAGTGTTGTTGTTGAAAGAATGAACACGCACATGTCTTGAAGATGAGAGGATACACGTTCCCTTCAGAACGATCATCGATGACTCAGGACACACACACCATCCATCACGACACACTGATCCACCAGTGCACTGTTGGCCCTCATAGCAGCTACCACCCGGCGGTGATAACGTGCGACCGTCTTCTGAAATACAACATCCACACTGTTCGAAAAAAAAACGAAGTTAAATGATAAAATACACCACATGCTGTTAGTGACAAACACACATCGTGCAACAAGTAATAATTGAACGAAAAAGGCAATGCTTGATCGACGTACAAATGAAGTTTGTTGGATTGCATGCAGTTAATATAATCAACGAGAAAAATCTCATTTACTTTATCCAAACGGTTTGCGACTGAAGTTGAATTGCGACGATTAATAAGATTCACTTTGATCGCAGAGTCTTGAACCGTAAGCGTGTAGTACGCTATGATAAGCACATCGCTTGCGATATGGATATTAAAATGAGGAATGTTTCTAGAGATGAAAGCAGCAATGCAGCAGATAACAACAGAGTTAAAAAGCTAACTGAATTGAACTGCATAGAATGGGTCATATGCTTACACAGCACATATATTCAATAAAAACAATTCACGATGAAATCATCAACGGAAATGAATAAATAACATCAGACAACAAAGATTTTGTTACGGACGAGCAAATAGATGTTTCTAGCTAACTTTGCTGTGCTGATTTCAGATCTAAAGCAATCACATACAGTGGACATTTTCATACGGTGATGAACATGAAGCATAAAGAAGCAACTGGTTAAGTTTCAATTCAATTACAGAAGAATTTCAGACTTTATCATGAGCTTATATTCATGGATTCGGTGACTTAAAAATCGACAGAATTTTGTTCATTCAGAAAGTGAATCATAGAAATGAATGATGATAAGCGACTGAACGAATAGTGAACAAAGTGATAGAATAAATTAATTAATACATGTAGGTGACAACGACTAGAACGAGAACTGATGATTTTATCCGGCAAGCATAGAAAAACTAACCTTTGTTGCGACAATCATCGATACTGTTTGTAGTTTCAGAGCAGTTCTTGAGTTCTGCTATCACATCATTCGAATTCAGTGCATTGAATGTAGCTCTAGTTTCTCTAGGATTCTTTGCGAAACACTTCATATTACTCACTGCATTAGTCGCTTCACAATCACATCGTCCATTCATACAAGGAGATGCAATTGACATACCCTTATAAAATTCACCTGAACTCTTTTTAGTTCTTTTCCTTATTAAGCTTTTCCCCTTCCTGCTGATCATATTCTTGAACGAGTGTATTCTGCGAATATTCTTCGCAATTGAATCACATCTCC